CCACCCCCAGTATCTTCAAACTAATAGAATTTAGATGAAGATTTTTTTTTTTAAACCAACGACAATCAACAAATAAACATGCAATTAAGCAGCAGCAGAATCCATCTCAAGCAAAGGTAATGTCATGATGTATGGCTCAGGGATTGAAAGTGATATATCAGAGAAATATTTCTTCTTGGTTCACTATAACAATAATAATAATGGTAACAATAACAATAATAAATAGCATCTGTATTGCACATATCCCCGCTCAACAGCAAGCTCTATGCACTTCACAATCTACATTAAGGTGAACCCCTACATGCATGCTCCTACCTTTGGTGAATTCCGTAGTTCCACCCTTTCTCGTCGCATGGCTTCAACCTCTTCAGCAACATTCCGGGTGCCTCGAAGCCAAACTAAAGCTAGAAATGAATCAAATGAAACAAAGGTAATCAAAAAGAGATAATTACTTTAGCACCATTGGACTTCTTTAAAAGTCACCAGTAACACAAAAACTTGTTACAAGAAAAGGTGAAAAAAACTTCACCTTCAATTTCACACTGATGGAGTACACGGGCAGTTGACGAAAATTTAAACTGATAATCGGCACTCATTTTTTGGTTGCTCCCTGCTCTACAGCATAACCTCGTAATCATAAGAAAAAAATATAGTAACTCAGATTTTGTTGACTTATTCTGAAAGCAGAGTCAAATGACGTAAATCTTGTGGCAGTGACAATATTTTCTGTTTGTCATTTATTTACCTGTACATCTATATAATGTACAGTCGAAATTGTCCAGGACTGCCACCCACTGTACAGGAGAAAAGGAGTTGTTTTAGAACAATGCCATTATACTTTTTTTTTAAAGCACAAGGTGGAGTGGGAAGTGGATGGTTATGTGACTGTCTTGGACAGGTGGTCATGAGAGTACGTTTGACTGTATCTACATCTATGAAATTTTAGTTTTTTAAAAATGACCCAAAAAAATCCTCATAAAAAACAAATAAAACACAAACAGCAAAAACGATCACAACATCACTAACACATTTGATACATCTAGACAATATTACTAGTGAATAAGTTCAATAAATTTTTCAGTATTAAAAGGAAAACATTGCCCGAGCTTACCTTTTTCTGCAGCAACGTCATCCCCTTTGTTGACCAGCAGATAACGTGGGGTCTCCGGACACCAGGTCAAGGTCAATAGGCTGTAGACAGCAGGAACTGCAGGGAATGCTGGGATAAAAATAGGATTTATACCCTCAGACGTTTTGTTAACAAAATCAATGACTTTATTCTCTTCAAATCTTTGGCAAATTTGTCGAAAGAGTGAACATGCATATAAATGTTGATTAATCTGGATTGTAAAGAGCATAGATCTTGCTGTTGAACCGGAATTTGAGCTATACAATTCATATTATTTATTTAATGTGTGTACAGGGGGGGAGGGAGAGTGGGAGAGAGGGAGAGAGAGAGAGAGAGAGAGACAGAGAGAGAGACAGAGACAGAGAGACAGAGAGCAATGACAGAACAGCATAGGACACAGGGGGAAGCACAACTGTCCATTATCACTAAATTTATCACACAACAAAAAGAAGACCATCAGTGATTTTTTTAAATGACTACAGCTACAGCGAAAGGAATACCTTTTCCAAAGACAAAAAAAAATCTCACCTACACACATTTATTTATGAACAGATGTGTATCCTGTCCAGTCCAACGCTTTAATCAAACAACATAGCTTTGTTACCTATTGTGTTGAATCAAAAAGATGATCAACAAACACTTACTCAACAATTATTGGAAACAAAGCAAAAGCCACAGTGACATTGAACTACTGAGTCAGTTAATTGAATACTGAAATAAAACTGAAAGCACCACCGAAAGTGAGGAAAATTAGCACAATAAGGGTCACATTTCCATGAAGAGGACTAGCTAGGATTGCCTTTAGTCTTACCTACGAGAAAAGGCCATAAGTTCTCCGTCCCAAGAATTGTGGTCAGTCCAAGAACTTCTCCTAACAGCACCCCGGTTGTGATGGACAGTTGGTTGCAGGTACCACAGAACCCACGCAGCTTGACCGGTGAGATCTCGGCCAGGTACAGTGGGGCAACAGCTGAGTTCAAACCTTTAACAATAAAGCAAAACACACACACACACACGTGAACGAAAATAAGCACACTGTTTATGATCTCATTTTTCCTGACCTCTACTAAATGCCAATGTAAAAAAAAAAAACCCACAAAACCATAAAAGTCGGTTAAAACCTGGAACAATACATCCAAGCTCACACACATATATATATGAACAAAAATAAGCACACCATTTATGATCTCATTTTTTCTGACCTCTTCTAAATGCAAATAAAAAAGCCCACAAAACTATGAAAGAAAATTGCTCTGGTCAGAGTCCCAAACAGGGGATCTATGAACTTATACTCTTTGGGGATAATTCACAACTCTTCATCCACTTGACTCAATGGCATTGGCGACAGACATTGATTTCTAATGAATTAATGCCTAAATAAGTATTGAAGCAGGCATGAAATTACAAACTTTGGCCACACTCTGAAGTCTGAGGTTTGATTCCGAACAGGGTTTGAATGACTATCTACTACTTTGTGGAATGTTGCGCTCAGTTAAGCATCCAGAGAAGGGTGGGTAGGGTAAGCTCTGGGTTTTCTTCATCGAACTACCTACACTGCATTTCTCATGAAATTTAAAAAAAAAACGTTACCACAATTGAAGCCAGCAACAATCCGGCCCGCCATCAACATTTCAAAAGTCTTGGCAGTTTTACTGCAGCCCTGAAGAGCTGCACATGCAAAAGCCACCAAGTTGTTGGCAAGAAGCGTATTCTTCCTGCAAAATATAAAAAGAACCATCATAAGAAAAGAAAATGATTTACTTTCTCCACTCGACACCCTAGATGGTACAAGAGGAAGGATAAAGAAAGAAAGTAATGATTTACTGAATAAAAAGTGGCTAATTATATTATTTTACTAAATGCCATTGATAAGAATAACGTTAACTGTATCGTATGAGGTCTTAAGTTCATTGAATAAACTATCAAATTCTTTCCAAAGAACATAGAGAAACAAAGCTGCACTCACTTTCCCTGCTCCCAAAGACTGAGATTTATCATACTGCAACACATCCTGTGATTGACACATTTTGATCCCATTCGGTTTCAGTCAGAATGGAAAATGGAAGGACCAACCATTTCAGTATATTAACATAAAGTTGTTGACAAAACTTACCTGCCATACTTATTGGCAAAGAAAGCGGCAGACACACCTCCCACCATTCCACCAACACAGAAGATGGCCACAGTCACTCCCCATAGTATAGTTAGAAGACTGCTTGACATAGGGTCACCATAGCGGTTGTAGTAGGTTTCATTGAAGAAATCTTTGATCACCTGGGAAAACAAACAACGATGCCACCTCCATTATTATACTACACAAAGATGAAATCAACCAGAGGTTGTTATTCATTCAGCTACTGTCGAAAAAGAAAGATGCGGGGTGAGGAGAGGAGACAGATGAAACAGCCATCACAAAATCAACTGCACTGTCTGTGAGGTAAAGATCTTACAGTCGGTCACTCTGAACTTTAGCAGGAGAACAAAAATGTGAAAGAAGAGTCACATTTGTTGTAACCAATCAAGATAAGAAAGATCATTGACATTACCACACAAAACCTATACACACAACATAACATACTATAACTATAAGAAACAGAGAATTTTCAAAGATTATCATGTGCCTATTTTTTCCCCTAGCCTTTTCTACATAAAAATTGCTAAGTGCCCATACCATCTCATCATCTCCTACCAGTCTCTGTAGTTACATGTCTCAAGTAAGAAGCCTTCAGAAATCATATTTAATTTTCAGGTCAACGACTTGTTTTCTCTAATTCCTTTTGAACCTTCGCTTCAACACTTACGTCTTCAGGTGCATTAAGAATTGCAGTGTTGAGTCCAATCTGCAGTGGGCTTCCCAGTGTGCAAGCCAGTATGGCAAGGACAAGGTGCACCTTGGAGGGCTGAAGTAAGAAATTTAAAAAATTAAAAATGACATACATGTATTTCTAATGGCCGTCGTTATTTGGACTCGAGTCCGAATAACATTTTTTCATATTCGGACTAGAGTCCGAATAAAAAAAATTCTTATTCGGACTCGAGTCCGCATATAAAAAATGTTATTTGGACTTGGGTCCGGAAAAAAGGAAGTGTATTCGTTCTATAGATCTAACGTTCAGTGTTTCCAATTTTCCGCCATTTTATGGTTTCCCCCACACCTTTTCTGCCAATCCGATGCCCGCCGCCTCATTGATACGCCCCCCCCCCCACCCCCCATGTTTCCCACTTTTTTTTGTTGTAGAAAAAAGTAAAATTGAAGATTAGCAGACCACCTGGCACCTGCATATTATGAGCTGTGTAAAAAAAAAAGATCGATTCGTTCAAATACACAAGCCTGTGTCATCTCCATTGTTTACCAAGAAAAAGTTGTGTTGCTGTGTAGAGCTGAGCATACGGCAACTTTTGATTCCATAGACCAGCGCACAATTCATTACGTAGATCTACGTCAAGATTAGCTTATTATTGTAATAATGATCAGTTGCCAGGGGGAAAAAGACTGACGCGTATGCGACGTTCAACGCCCGGACCGATAGTGCCCTCCCCCCTCCCTGACACGCACACAGCCACACATGTGCAGGCCGCCCATCCGACCCCGACACACTCTAACGAGCCATCTTTAATTGCTTCTGATGACCTCTTGACAAATAAACATTTATTAGAAGCGCTATAACTTTTCAGGCCGGCCTCAAATTCATCATAAGATAACAACTCGGCTCCTGCACAAAACGCCTTTTGCCCGAATTAATCCCGGTCTCTACCCAGCCTGAGGTGAGTCACGAGTGAGGCAGGACAGGAAGCCGGAGTCACGAGTCACAGGAAGTCGGAAGTCGGAAGTGATGTCATGCTGGACAAGAATCAGAGTCCGAATAACATTTTTTCATATTCGGACTCGAGTCCGAATAATCACTTCGATTTCTAATTTAGTGACTATACATTTGTAATCACACATACCAATAATTTTAAAGGAATATACATATATGTATATATAAATTATATATATATATATATACAACATTAAAATCTCAATCGTAGATAAGCCCGTTGTATGTCTCCAATTTTTAGTCTGAAAGAACCACCTTCTTTAAATAATTCTCTCCCAGAAGAGCAAAAGTTAAGCCCCAGCCACACTGTGTGTAACTTTACTGACCTGTGATTTACATGGGTCTCAACTCACAATTTAAAAAATTGAGGAACTTACTGCACGGTCACAACAGAAGAACATTTTTTGTGAGATACCCACCATCATTATACTGCTAGAATGCTGAAATAAAAACCATCAATTTATCAGAGCAAGGTTATTTCATGATCATACTAATTTGAGGGTTTGGAAGATAATTTCAAGTAAAAGAATCACTTACTAAACATTTACAGTCTTGACTATGAACTGAAAAAGGTGGCGCATTACTGGGAGTTACCCCTCCCATCAACTCTCTTTGCCGATGACTGTTCCTCAACAGTTTAGCGGAGGAAATGGCACAAGCAGAAATCCGCTAAACAGCGGAATACTGTAAAGCCCATGGATCTAGCATCACCCGTCACTTAACTGAAGCTGCCTATCTCATGTTCTCCTTTTTGACATTTAACACGCCTGACTGTGAGATGGTGTGTGTGTGTGTGGGGGTGAGAGAGAGAGAGAGAGAGAGAGAGAGAGAGAGAGAGAGAGAGAGAGAGAGAGAGAGAGAGAGAGAGAGAGAGAAAGTGGGGTTATTCAATTAGCAGCGGAAGCCATTAGCAGCAACCTCCACCTAACAGCAACAAAGGCTTGCTCCGCAAGAAGGTTGCACTGTTAATATTAGGTGGACACTGCTATTACTATAAGACTAATGACAATGTAGTGGCACGTACTGTAATCCTAGATCTAAGTCTATTCCTACTAGATCTAGATCTAGATCTACGGGAATTTGTACTGACTGTTGTACTGTGTGATACACTGTACTTTTTTTGCCTGAAACAATTTAATTTAACAACCACCTTTTAAAAAAATTGGATAGTTCAAACCTCTTCATTGGAACTAGAAGTGTGTATGCAAATATCCTCTCCATCAGCCTGCACTGCTCCGAGGGAACTTCTTGAATTCTGTCGGGCTTGTGAATCTTCATCAAGAAGAAGTTGGGTGTCGTCCGACATCTTGTATGTTTAGTCAGTCACATGATCAATTCATTCAGACCGACTCCGTACGAGTCATGTGACTTATAATATGCCCAGATTAAGATTTCATTCATTTATTTATTCGTATTTTTTGCGGGGAATTGTAGTGCAAACGGAAACACACATAATGGACAAGACAAATCATTGACTTAACTTTTTATTTTTTTAAAATTGCTCTTGGAACAATTTGAAGGACATAAGGAAAACTTTTTTTTTCAAAACTGTTTTAAGTTGAAAAAAAAAAAGGCTGAGTGGTGAATTGTTTCGTTACTGTCGATGTAAAACGCGAAAAAATCAGGAGTATGTGTGAAAAGCGAAAATGGCAGCGCAGGCACAAGCGTCAACTTCGTCCGAAAGTGCTGCCCAGGAAGAGGATTCCTCTGAGCTGCAGTTTCCTAAAGGTATGTTCTTTTTACTAGATCTAGATAGAAGGCCCAAGATCAAGATGATCTTATTGGGATTCAAGATTGTATACGGTACAGCTACAACACTACTCAACACTGCTACACATATTATACACACGGCCTTTGACAGCCTTCGTACACAACAACAGTAACAGCAGGAGTTGGTAACATATGATGATGATTTATAATGGAAGTGGCTATACTCACCCGGGGTGAGAATAAAAATACGATCGACCTCTCACCCCGGGTGAGACTTGCCACCGTTGGCTATTCTCTGTGAAACAAGACCTGTTTTTCATTTCGGATACATAGGCCTAGGACCACATGCGATTATAAAAGTAGAAATGATGCAAACTATTTTTAGGAGGTAAGGCGCCCATCTTGTTTGACGTCAGACCAGGATACCGATACCCCTCCGACCACGTGACTACATCTAAGTATAGACAACCGCATGGCACCAAAGATGGAAGTGTCTATGTATATTATGCTTAATCTACACAAATTTCTCAGAATTTCTGATAGCTGATTTGATAGCGCGTCTGCGTTTGATGTCGAGCAATGACTTTTGGAGCGGTTCGATTCCGGTCCCGGACAGTTTTTTTTTTCTCTTTTCCTCCTCCCGACTGACCAACAGTTCCATAAATTATAGGCCTAATTTGTAGAGTTGCTTTGACTTTGAAGTTGTTGTTTATTTTTTTTAATGTATTAGTGATTAAAAATGCAGGAGGGGGGGGGGGTGGTAGATCTAAATTTAGATATCTAGATCGATTTCTAGATCTAGATATTATCTAGTCCTCCTGCGTCTTTACGGCAATTATCGTGCGGTCTTCCATCATGTCCAGGTAGGCCTAATAGATCTAATCTAGAATCTAGATCTAGATTCTAGATCTAGAAAATCCGAAATGTTACCGAAAACACGTCGTTCCATGTTTGGGTATCCCAGGAAGTGATGACATCACATTACTAAAATAAGCAGCCAATCAGAAAGATGCGTCATTTCTAAGTTTAACGGCATGTCCTAGGACCCCTGTCACTGAGCGCTCGAGGCGACCACAATCGCCAACCCGTGGGCCAGCTCTCGAGCGTGGGAGGCGACTATTGTTGATTTGGGGGAAAGCCAAGGAGATTAAAAGTAATTTGATCATATAGTGTCACCTTTTGTTGCTGCAGTATAGCCTGATGTAGCAATGCCAATCGCCCGCTGCGCCTTGGGCCGGAAATCGGCCTCCGCGCGAGGGGTATTTTTTGGGCCGCTCGGATTCAGAAGTGGCTCTCTTTTAAGTATAGTTACGGGAAAACTCCTAGACGAAAATAAATGAAACTCGGCAACCAACCAGAGGAAAGGTTAAACTAACGACATGCCAGCGTACAATCCCGAACGATTAGTAGAACCGGAGATATTGCCGTGTTTGTGCGAATTTCCTCTGCGGTTCGAAAACTAAGCGGAGCTGCGGGTTGATCGCGGACCACACAAGCACCCCACATGTCTTCTTTATTGCTGTAAAATTTCAGATTTCTGCGTTCAGTAGATTTTCCGTACCAACTTGAAATTACCACCCATCCATTGATAAAACACTAGATCTAGAAACTTGATCGCGCATTCCAAACGCGAGGTGCCGGCATGCAAGAGGCGCGTGATCGCTAGGCGGCATGTGATTGGCTGCCTATAACCAAATGGGTCACCGATGACTACATCGCGGGTTTTCCCGATAGCGCTTTAATTTACTGAGTTTTAGAAGGGGTGATCGCGTAGAGGTAAAAACGATATCACGCAATTCAACAAATTTCACGGAAATATCAGTCTTTAAGATCCAAAGTAATGAAGACATCGAAAAAGTGATAACAGAACTAGATTCGGCAATAAAAATCACAAGGAGATGCCAAGTTTCATTCATATGCTCCAATTCATTACTGACTTATATATAAATGAACAGTTTTTCCTCAAAATACATCAAAACATGTCCCACATTTTGGCGATTTTTTCTTATGAAGGTCCTCCAACATTATGCATACAAAAATCCCAATAACTTTTTTATTTATCAATGGATTTTTAAAATTTAAAAACCACAGTTCTTAGAATTTACTCTATTTTCATTTTAGCCCATTTTTAAGCAATTTGGATGAAAATTTAATTTTTCATTGTCATTGCTACCTAATGTAGGCCTGCTCTATTTCTCCGAACGAAGTGACTATTCTCGAGTCCGAATATGAAAAAATGTTATTCGGACTCTGATTCTTGTGCAGCATGACATCACTTCCGTCTTCCTGTGACTCGTGACTCCGGCTTCCTGTCCTGCCACACTCGTGACTCGCCTCAGGCTGGATAGAGACCGGGATTACTTCGGGCAAAAAGGCGTTTTGTGCAGTAGCCGAGTTTTTATCTTATGATGAATTTGAGGCCGGCCTGAAAAGTTATAGGGCTTCTAATAAATGTTTATTTGTCAAGAGGTCATCAGAAGCAATTAAAGATGGCTCGTTAGCGTATGTCGGGGTCGGATGGGCGGCCTGCACACGTGTGGCTGTGTGCGTGTATGGGAGGAGGGGGCACTATCGGTCCGGGCGTTGAACGTCGCATACGCGTCAGTCTTTTTCCCCCTGGCAACTGATCATTATTACAATAATAAGCTAATCTTGACGTAGATCTACGTAATGAATTGTGCGCTGGTCTATGGAATCAAAAGTTGCCGTATTCTCAGCTCTACACAGCAACACAACTTTTTCTTGGTAAACAATCGAGATGACACAGGCTTGTGTATTTGAACGAATCGGTCTTTTTTTTTTACACAGCTCATAATATGCAGGTGCCAGGTGGTCTGCTAATCTTCAATTTTACTTTTTTCTACAACAAAGAAAGTGGGAAACATGGGGGTGGGGGGGGGGGCGTATCAATGAGGCGGCGGGCATCGGATCGGCAGAAAAGGTGTGGGGGAAATTAAAAAATGGCGGAAAATTGGAAGCCCCGAACGTTAGATCTATAGAACGAAGACACTTCCTTTTTTCCAGACCCGAGTCCGAATAACGACGGCCTTCTCCGAATGTTCGGGAAAATAAACTTAAACCATTTCTCCTAATGGTTTCCGTTCTCGAGATTTGTTGATAATCAGCGAATGGAGTGGTCCTTGTGTGTGTGTGTGTACGGGTGGGGGGGGGGGCGGGGGGGCTGGGGGGTTACATGAAGGATTTTAGTTTTTACTGGGTGACTAAATGCAAAATAGGTTATTCCCAAACAATCAGTTTTGTTTACTCGCAGTACCTTTTGAATGTATTTTCAAATGAAGTGTAGTCCGGGAACGTTGCCCCAACCACAACTGAAGTACCTGAATATTCAGACATTTAAAAATCTCTAGCTCTAGAAACTGAATTCGATGCAAAAAATGCTTCTCTTCCCAGTCATGGAAGGATGACGCCTTAAATCTCGCAAATAACCCAAAAATCTAGAGATCAGAAACCGTTCGGAGAAATAAAGTTTAAATTTATTTTCCCGAAGGTTTGGAGAAATAGTCTTTTTGATTAATTTATTGGTTCTGTAATGGAAAATTTTACTCTTGTATGGTTACAAATCAAAATTTAAAAATAAAATAAGCGTAGGGTCGAGGCACTGCGTTCCTTAAAAATAATCGTGGGTTTTCCTAGGGATAACAATTAAACATGTTTTTTTGTGTTGTAAACACATATGCCAATTCTAACATTACAATGACAAACTATTACTGACACTAGTTCATTAAACAGCTTTCAGTTAAGTGGATCATTGTTGTGGTTAGAGAGCTTGTGTGCCTCAGTGACCCCGAGAACTGCGCTGGCTGGAGCTAATGCTCCTGGTAGGGCCACTCATGCCAGACAGGTCGACAGGTAGAGGTCATACGAAGCGTGATCCACCGACCCTCCAGGTTTCGGAGGATCAGCTCAGGGCTGACTACCCAGACTTGTAAAAAGCAAATGTTACGGAAACAGCAACAAAGAGAAACCATATTTCTGTGTGTGATGGACCTTCAGAGTCCCTTGGGACTCGTATGAATGCGAGCAGTGAAAGCTGCAAGGAAGCTGTTTGCAGGAAGATGGAGGACCTGAATACTGCAAAGACAAAAGTTATCATAGGACTGGAATGTAAGGACAATGTATGAAACTGGTAAGTTGGCACATGTAACAGCAGAGATGAGGATGGACTGCACATTCTGGGCATAAGTGAAAGTCACTGGACAGAATCCGGCAGGCTGAGAACAGCAACTGGAGAAACACTGATCTATTCCGGCAGAGAAGACATTGACAACCAACATAGAGAAGGTGTAGCCATCATCCTAAAAAAGGGACTTGAGAAATGCCTCATGGAGTGGAAACCGATCAACAGCAGAATGATGACACTGAGACTGAAGGGAAAGCACACCAACACAATCATCATCCAATGTTACGCCCCTACTAACGACAGTGAAGATGAAAGCAAGGACTTTTTTATGAACAGCTACAGAGGGAATTGACAGGTATACCTCGTCACGACTTTATCATTGTAATGGGCGATCTGAATGCTAAAGTAGGAGAGGACAACACCAAATATGAGAGTACGATGGGACAACATGGTACGGGTACAAGAAATGAGAATGGTGAAAGATTAGTGGACTTCTGCGCATTGAACAACTTGGTGATAGGCTGATCCCTCTTCCCACACCGTACAATCCACAAACTGACCTGGAATTCTCCAAATGGCCGGGACAAGAACCAGATTGACCACCTTATGATAGGAGGAATGTGGAGACGTTCCCTACAGGATATGAAAGTCAGAAAAGGAGCAGATGTCGGCAGTGATCACCATCTAGTGACGGCAAGGATAAAACTCAAGCTGAAGAAAACATTCACCAGGGAGGCGACAAGGACACAATTTAATGTTCACAAGCTCAGTGATGGCAATGTGAGATCTGCCTTCCGACTAGAATTAAAGAACCGATTTCAAGCTCTCCAAGACCTGGAAGAAACCACCCCCAATACAGATGAAGTCAATACCCAATGGAAGCATATTGTTGAGGCCTACACCGAAAGCAATAAGACGTGTCTTGGTGTCAAGAAAAAGAATGCAAACAAAGAATGGATATACAGCAAGGAACTTGGAATACTATTGAAGAACGGAGAGAAATCAAGAAAAGACAGCTTGCAGCTAAATCGATACGGCCACAAGAGAAGTACGCAGAGGATACAAGGAAGCTTGCCAGAAAGTTAAAAGACTGGTCAGGTAGGACAAAAGAGAAGCCATGGAAAAGTTGACGTTGGGCAGTCAGTGCTACTTATTTAACGGAGGACGTGGAAACCTCGTATCGCCAGCTGCTCATCCCAAGGTAGGCGGTATAACGGGGTTTGACTGTATTCCGGACATTTTATTGTTCCTTGTGGATTTTTGTCAGTGTTTTAAAAAATGTGTTTTGTTTTCCCTCCCTCAGAATTTGAGAATGCAGAAACTTTACTGATCTCTGAGGTTCAGATGCTCTTGGATCACAGGTATGGTTTAAAATATACAGACACCTCTTTTTGCATTTTGAATCTTCACTCTTTGTACCAAGGCCAGAGAAATTTTTGGATGTGTCATGCTCAATCATTACTTACAACTATAAAGTTGTTTGTTTTTTTTTTCATATGTAATGCAGACCCTCCTTGATTAAATGATGTGACTGTACCACCATAGGAGTGAGTCTCCTATGTGACTGGAGACAGAGATGTGTTTCAGTTTCGTGATGTGAATTTTATTTTTCGCAAAATATGCACTGCTCTTGAATAATTAAAATACATCACCTGACTTCAGTCTGTGTGTGTGAAAGCCTTCAACTTGAGAGCAGCTAGACAGATGATCCCTCTTGCGGATTTCATGTCCACGCAGAGATGTGTTCGGATTGTAATGCCTAAATCATCTGACTAAAAACTGCAGTGGGAAGAGTAATCAAGTTCAACCCACCCGTCACTGGTGGCAGTAGAGACAACTATCCACATTAACTAAATCTTATGTATATTTCTTGTCTTGTCTAGTTTTCCTCATCTCCTTTTTCGAGGACAGACCATGGTTTCAACTGTCAACGTACTATTCTGGTGTTATTCTATTCTTGTCGTCAATTATTGGTTACATGGTAACTTTAGTCTACTGTACAATGACAGGCAAATGGGCTGATATGACACAAGCTGTGGGTCAAAATCTTGTCCTCATAGTGACAGGGCATGTTCTCTGTGGTATTTTTGGAGTGTTTATCATTTATAATAATGTTGAGGACTGAGGCTTGCATGCACATCATCAGTGCCTTTCCCCTGTAAAGTAGAATAAGATAGTTACTGAAATGTTTAATGTTTTCTTTGTCTGTTGGTAAATATGGAAATGTTTGTTCCCTACCAGAAAACAACAAAATGAAAATGCAGAAGAAGAACAGGAGCAGTCTGAAGTATTCATCAAAACCCTCAATTACTGTGTGAGGTTCAGTAAATTCAAGAACAGGGAAACTATTACTGCAGTCAGAAGGTAAGTATGATATTTCATTTGTGGTTTTGCAGTGTACCCTGTGTAACACGGCTGGCTTGAATTCGTTGGGACCGGCCTCTGTAGTTCAAGGGATATCCTACAAAGATAAAGAAGAAAGAAAAAAAACGGGACTGCAGGCATAGTTCGATGGATGCGTGATTTCGAGTCTTCTTTGTTCGACCTATTCGTGTTATACAGTAAATATATGAATTTTATTTTTTGGTTTTCTTTGCATTATCATGGTATAGGAGGGGTCTTACAAAAAGTCCATTTTTATTGCAAAAGTTTTTAAAGAGTTTCATTTTTGGGAGTGTATAAAAATGTATATTTGAGCTCTTTAATACAATTAATTCCACCCAGCTGTATCCTTTAACAGCTGGGTTTTTTTTCTATTATTCTTGATGGTAAGTAGGATTTAATGTTTAAAAAAGTGGATGCTGTTATTTATTACAAATGATCCTATGAACGCAGCTTATTTTATTCACTACACTGGGTTGTAAGACATTTAGAAGGGAAAAAATCAAAGTAAAAGAACTCTTGATAAGTTATCACAGAGGGGGTAAAGATCTTTTTTCACAATGATGTCCTTGCAGTTCCAATGTCAGTAATGTTGACATGCTAGGTCCACTAAGGGCACAAGGCTCGCACATCCAAAATGTTTTTGCATCAGTCAATTGTCAAGCGTCAAGTTCCACACCGCTCATGTATTTTCTTTTCAAATTTTATTACATGAGTTATAGCGGCATGTATTCTAATTTTTTACTGCATATACGGCATGTTGTTTCCCAGTTCACTGATGCAGAAAAAGTTACACAAATTTGAGCTAGCAGCCCTTGCCAATCTTTGTCCCGAGACTTCAGAAGAAGCAAAGTCTTTGGTTCCCAGGTAAGTCCTAAGAATAAAGCTACACGGGCATGATATTGTTACCAATTCTGATAGAATAGAAATGGGATGGCTGTCACCTGTCACCATGGCCGTATCTGTCCGTTGTTGCCCCACTCCTTGCCATAAAAAACTTCATCTTCCCCAGTCTCTGGTTTGATGTATTATTTTATGAAGTTGGAGCGGGGGGAAAAAAAAAAGTATATAAAGGTACCGCAAACTGGCCGCGCGCCCTCGTGGCGCACTATCATGGAGACCAAAACCCATATTTTTACCCACCTAAAACACTGTGTGATCATGCATACACACAGGCACTTGATACATCAGAAGAAAGAACTCTTTTTAGTGGTATTATTTATTTGAATCAACGATTCTTTTGAAAGCAAAATCTTGCGGGATAAAAGACAACACTATCTACGTTATCACCGCAGCGGCCGCGCGTTTCATGTATTGATTTTTTGAGTGACCTCGGTTGAACAGGAACTGGGAGCGCATGGTATTAAATACTGCAATCTGATTCGTCAATATTTCAAGATGAGAAGACGCTCTTTCCGGTGATATATTTCTAAAGACTGTCCTTAAAGAATTAATAGAAGAGATTTGCGTGTGAAAACTTTCCATGCTGTTTTTTTATGGAACCAGTGATCGGACTGACTACGGAAATATATCGGCAGAAAGCCCATTCATTCCTCTTTAAGAAAAACGCAGCCATTATATGCAAATAAACACCGGACGCTCCCTGTCGGCTCGCAAGCAGGGCACCAACGCCCCGGTTTCGTATAAATTCCGGCGCCCAACCGATAAGCCAGTGGTCGTGAGTGGTGATTTTAACCTCCCCTTGTATTTCTTGCCGTTTTGGTCAAAAAGCCATGTTTACGTCAATAAATTTCCATCTTCTGGTTATTTGATAGCCCTGAAAAAAATTGAGCTTGTTCTCTATCTGCATAGGTGTGTGTCTACAAGTTTTTGTGAATGTCCATTCAAATTTAAGAATGTTGTAACATTTCAAAGTGTAGACATTTCGCAATTAAAAAACTGTAACATTTTTCTGCAACTTCAGATGTTCATAACTTTGTTAAAAATGAAGCTATATGTATAAATTTGGTATCAAAATGCTCAGAATGATAAATTCTATAAGGTAATACAGTTAACTATGAAATCAGAGGACTTTGAAATTTCAGTTTGCGGTACCTACATATATATCGGGGGGGGGGGGGTGCCTCCAATCCAATTTTATCGCAGAACTTGACAGTGGTCTACAACTGCATTCAGATTTTGTATATAAAGTGCATTTTTGACTACCTTTATTTGCCATGGTCGATTTGCAATGTAATCTTAATGTGCTGGGGTTCTGGAGACTTCCATTTTTTTCCCCACAAACTACTATTTTTAGAGAGGATTCAGAGAAAACTCTTATTCAAGGGCTTGGAGTGGTCATCAAGTCTGACTGTTGTTGGATTTTATGTTTACAATGTATATGATGTATGGAGTCTTCTCTTATTTTAGTATGACGGTAAGCTACATACAGTAACTGGCAAAAAAATGGGTGAAAATAATGACGGGTGTTTTTTTTTTCTTTTCTTACCATGTAAAACCAAGGTCAGCAGAGCAGTTACTGATCTTTCTTTCGTCAGAGACAACTTGTGATTCGTAAACATTCTTTGTTCTGATGGTTATGCAACAAGCTGATAACAATGTATGCAGGCCAGGATGGACTGTTGTTGGGCCTTCTGGTGTAGTCTGTTCCTTCTCCTTTTCAGTGTTTCAAGTCATTATGTTGTCTCTGCTGCTATCCAAGGTTTAGCAGTTTCTGTCCTTGCCTTGCACACTAAAGATGGGAGTCTGATTTCCACCATAGGAAATATGTTATTAGGATCTAAGTCGTTCTTTAAGGTTGTGTGTTTGGGTGGTTCACGGGTGCTCCTGTGTGGCTTGCTCCTTTTTTCCCAACATATGTCATCCTTACCTCCCTTCCTTCTTTTTTTGTGCTTGATACTCTTTTATAACGCCTGAAAATTTTGGCACTTATATGACATAATTGTGTTGCAAGTACTGTGAAACACATACTAAAACCTAAAACAAAAAAAGTTGTCTCCTACACGACGTGGGTTGCCAATGGCAGGCGGGGTCAAAGTGGCAGCAGCGCAATGGTCTGGTTAGTGTTAATAGGGTGAAATGGTATAGGGTTATCGCCCGTATTAACACTATTAGATCTTTTAAGAGGCAAGTCCTACGAGTTATACATCTGTCTCCGAAAGGACCTGGCCAAATGGGAATTCGTGTAAAGTGTCTTTCCCAAGGACATGATGTCAGACTGAGCTGAAGCTTGAACACTCAAATCCAAAATCTCACGATCATGGGTCTGGTTGCCTGACCACTAGGCTTCCGACGCCACGTGTCAGTAGGGCATATATGGTATTAAATAGTATTATTTGTCATGTAACTTAACATGTGTCCATTAACTTATCTTAATGCCACATATCTTAATCTTCGGGATATTTTGGGTTCTTATTAAACATTTGTATTGTCCTTTCAGATTTCCGAAATTTTATCTCTTTTAACCTATTTTTAATTCATGCTATTACACTGAATAGAGTGGGTTTCTTTCTTTACTTTTTTTTTTTTTTTTTTTTTCTGATGGAGGGAAAGGTTGTTCTCTGTTGTCAGGTTTTTGCTCTCAAGCAACAGAACGATCTCAGCAATGACATTTGTAGAAGAAAAAAAGTAATGTGTTGTATCAATCTAGAATAATTCTTTCTTTTTGTGCTTTCTATTCTCAGTTTGGATGGCAGATTTGAAGATGAAGAGCTCCAGTCAATCTTGGACGACATCAAGACCAAACGAAGCTTTCAGTACTGATATTGTTTGTTTGTCTGTGTATTGTATTATAATATCATGTATGTTGGTGTGTGTGTGTTTGTTAGTCACTATTTGAGTGTGTGGATGTACTTTGGTGTGAGTATGACTGTCTACCTGTTTGTGAAAGATCTTTACGGAATGGAAAATTGAATGACTGGAAGAGAAGATCTGTGTAAGTGAGAGTGTGTTTACTTTTATTTGTTTTACTGACAGATTGAACGTTAAAATAAACTGAAATTTGATCTGATACCACAAAAATATCAGATTTTTGTTGATTTTTTATATGCTACATGTATGCAAGATGGAAATTGTGTGTGGTTTGAGGGCACGGGTTTCTTTTACTTGATCAAGATTTATCTACTTTCTTTTCGTTTACCCTCACGTCTTGTACCTTCTTGAAAACTGACAATATGTGTGTGGTACAGCTATAAAATATGTCTCACTGCTAGGCATGCTTTCTTTTAAAATACTTATCATGAATAAATACATTTCACTGCGTAGTAAATATTAATTACTTTCAGTGTTGATTAACCATCACCACACCACTTTACCAATTAATTATACCTCATAACACCATGGCATACCATACGATGCAGAGAAAAAGGTGGCTGGTTTGTTGGGGGGGGGGGTTGCTGCTCGTTTAGTTACTGCAGACAAGATGTTCTGTAGTGCAAGAATGCCTAATCCCTAACAATTGCGAAAATCAGTCCACAAAACTCTTTTGTCCACATTGTGAGATTTGCTTTTTAAAATCAGACTGTGACAGGACTATGGGTTGGATACAAAATTTTGGCTGATAAGATGATGCCCTGATAAATCTTACTTTACTCTTCAGTGTCTTGCATTAGAAGTAGGGCCTACCACTACCAGTGGCACCCCACTTTAAACACGCATGCACACACACACACTCGCACACACACGTGCACTTTATCTCTGTTTCTCTCTTTTTTGGTTTGTTGTGAGTGGTTTAATGGTGCCATGAGTTGTTAATGATTAATCCTACTGCTTTTCTTCCCTTCTGTAGTTTCTGCTGGTCGTTCTTGCTTTTTGATGGCGTCCCTAAATGGTCGTTATTGTGCCGACGTGCTGCTCTTAATTCTCTCTCTTCCTTTCTCTTCTCTGTCCGTCTCCATATCTCTCTCTCACATTCTTTTTGTCCAGGCATTGAATGGCCTTTGTATTTGTATGCTTGTTGTGTCAATGTTTTTCTCTTTAATCAACAAACCATACTGTACTGTCTTTTTCCCGCGGTACAGGGTCATGAGTCATGTCAATGATCACAACTTAAAACTCGAACTCGGATCTTACAATATGGGAGGTCTGGAAAGGGCAACTCTTACACTTACAGGCGAAAGTGCCAGCAAGGGGTAGGCCTACATTATGCCATAGATAGGGACAATGCACCGGAGTCTGTGGTGTAATAGGTTCATCGTAGTTGTTGGAAGAGTTAGATTTCTGAATAGGTGGTTGGTGGGTGCTCTGGTGTGGTTTGCTCCTTTTTTATAACCTCCTTTCTTGTGTGTTTGTTACTCTCTTGTTACATCTCTAATCTTCGACACCTATGATGACCTTTTTGTGTTGCAAGTGCTGTAAGACTCTTACTAAAACAAAACAGTCTATTTACCAGAATGAGAATGGTGGTGGGGGGCGCCTCTGGTAGATCTTACGTCTTTACTTTCCTTCTGTTATTTCTGCCTTGTCTGTCTTAATTTTCCCCAGCACTAAAAATACCATTTTTGTGTCAATGTGCGTATCTTTATTTTACTCGAACTCAAACATGAGGATGCTGCATTTGCACTCTTCCCTGGTTGGGCAAGCATCCTCATAAGCAGCCCGCCGCCTAGGTTTTCTATGTTGTGTTGATGAAGGCACGAAAGATATAAATTTGCATTTAAGTACAATGCCAACAGGCGAAAGAGAACCAGTGTTTCTGAAATGTTTTACTAATGAGATTGGAGGCCGCTAGTGGTAGTAGTGGTAAGTCCTACGTCTTTACTTTCTCTTTTGGTGTTTCTGTCCGTCTGACTTGTCCCAGCATTAAATGATCATTTTGTATCATTGTGCTTCTCTTTACTCAAACAAAACAACAAGCACATGAATTCAGATTGTACTGTTGTTTACGCCCCTGTGCAGCCTTTTTCATTTTGTTTGTTTTGTTTTAATTAAAATAGCACGTGTCAACCTGGGCGATATCAACCGCAAGTGGTCAATTTTGTAGTATTGTGGTTTGGCAGGCAGTAGGGATCGCCCGGGTACCGTAGTGACTGGTACAAAAACATTGAGTGGCCGGCTTGGAACTACAATTAATGAATATAATAGTATTAATAGTAATGTTGGTTGGCGTAGAAAAATGTTAGCCTCTCAAAGACTGTACAAGTTGGCTCTAGCTAGCTATAAAATGTATTTTAAAACGGGTTGACAAGCATTGTTTCAAAGAAGCTGCTGCCCTTGCCTTGGTTATTTCAGTCAATGCAGAAAAGGGAAATAATGGCGTTCAGATATTTCACTCTTTGGATCGATAATTTAAAAATTTAATATGAACTCTCCTCAAGGTAATCTGGGTCCAATCTTTTGGGTAAGTGACGAGACCATAGGGAGGGAGAGACGTTGCTACATCATGTCTTCACCCTAGAAAATACATAGACGTAAGCGGTGCAGCCGCAAGGCGCTTTGCTGTCACATGCAGAAGACGTGTTTGATTCTTGTGAGAGCAATTTTTTAAATCAATTTGATAGCATCTTTGTCTTCCTATCCAACACTTTTTTCGTTTATCTAATGAGACGTGTCTCTCTCAACCAAAGTTGGCTCCGACAGGCAGAGTTGAAGCAGCCTGCTTCCTAAATAATCTAAATTCTGTCGAAATATGGGGGTCGGGGGGTTAACTTCTACTATTGTAATTAATTACTTGTATGGGAGACTATTGCAGGCCATTGCGTATTGCCGTTTTTTAGGTCAGTAGTCAGTGTAGAAGAGCCAAGTCCAAGAAGACAATGTTTTGTCTTTGAAACTTTGGTATTTTTCTGTATTGAAAATGCAACTCAACAGTATTGCACACCCATCTTGATTAAAATTCAAATGGAAATTCTGATTCGTGTCCGCTTTTTTATCTGGTGAATTTGATCCGAGTATTCGCATGGCATCTTTCTAGACAAGATTGCGTATTCTCTTTGGAGATGTTCGAGTTCGAATATAATGTAATATCTTATTTCCTTTTAGTTTTAAAAAATAAAAATATTTGGAAGACCAGTTTGAACATGAAGCCACATTTATTTCTCAACATAGAGAAACACAAAGATGTCAACAAAATAAACGAATGTCAACAGGATAAAATGAGTATGCATAGAAAAAAATATACAGAGGGGTCACGGAGTGAGACGACATGTTTTGCCCTCGACATGACGTCACACTGTTGGAAGTCACGTGATCCGGAAGCTGACGTAATGATGGTGAAGAGAGTCAAGATGGAAGGAAAGACTTCTCTGGCGTCAGCGAGTTTCAGCCATAGACTATGAGCCGATGGAATTGCTCAAAGTTCTTGATTGTACTTTCTTGAATCTATCAGTTTCTACTTTTCGATGGTACTTGAAAAGTGTTCTTAACTTTCACACTCTGCTGAGACAGCCCTTGTGATAATATGATGCCTGTGAACGAAACAGAAGGTCGAAATTAGGAGACGCACGAATGTTAGTTGAAGGTAGTATGGTGGTAATATTACTTGTAGGTTAATTATACCGAAACACCGAAATATTGGACTGTCGCAAGCTTGAAATACCGGTACATTTTTAATGTAAACAATTTAGTTACATTGTGAAGAAGAACCGAAAAAAACCCAATAACAAAGCAACAGGCAACAAACAAAATGTTGGACAATACCTTCATCTCAAGACAACCTCTCCCTATATCTACCTATCTATCTATCTATCTATCTATCTATCTATCTATCTATCTATCTATCTATCTATCTATCTGC